CTTCTGCAAGGCCTGGGCAGCCAGTCACCGCTGGATCTCCGCCTCCGCCAGGTACTTGGCCATCTCATGCTACTTGAGCTCCGAGGGTTCCCTCTGCACCTCACGACCTGGCTGAAGGCCTGGTCGTGCTTGGCGCTGGCGTCCCGCCAGGCGCCCGCAGCCTTCTTCACGGCGTCCTCCGCCGATGTAGCTGGCTGCGACTGCATGGGCGATGACGCCGCCCGCGCTGCCTGCAAAGCTGAGACCCTCTTGGCCTCGGGGTCGGTGGTGGCCGTCAGCGCCTGCGCCAGGTGGGACTCGAAGGACTGGCCTGTCCCTGTCGCGCTCAGCATCAGCGTGCTGCTGCTCTCGCTGCCGACCTTAACCTTGCTGTTGCCACCCTTGGGCTTGCACAGGTTCATGGGTCGGTTGCATTACCGACATTCGCATTCATGGTTGAGCAGAGCAACGTTGTGTTCGTCGTGTTTGCCGCACCCTGTACACGTCGACCACGCCCTCGTAGCCTGAACATGATTCCCCGCCTTAGGCATCGCGACTGACTGCACCAGTGTATGGTGAAAGCGCGATGTCCCTCAAGCCCCATGGGAAGGGGCGGGGTGGACCGAGTGCCCTGTGCAAAATGCGGCGCTCGGGCCAGTGGCTTGAGGGAGGGAAGGAGGGAGAGAGGGAGGGAGTGAGGGAGTGGGAGATGAGGAGACGGCAGGAGCAGTGGGAGGGGAGGAGGAGGGAGGAGAGAAACGGGAGAGCGGAGGACCCAGGGCGGAAGAGGATGCAGGGAAGGAATAGGATGAAGGGGGGAGGAAGAGGTTGCTGGGCACCGCTGGCCGAGCCGATGCCGCGGCCTCCGAAGGCCCCCCAGGGCCGCCAGGGGTCTCCGAGGGCCGCCGGGGACCTCCGGGTGAGTGCCACGCGCGGCTCTCCGAAGGCCTCCTGGGGTCGCCGAGGGTCGCCGAGAGCTGCCGAAGGCTGCCGATTCTCGGGGCCGCCGTGGGCCGCGCGCAACGCGCCCGCGCGCAGCGCGCCCGCCGGGCAGGAACCCACTGTGGCCCGACCGGGTGCCGGGCCAGCGGGCACAAGAGAGGCCAGCCCTCCTTTCAGGAGCGGCCCGCGGGTTCTCTTGCCAAGCCACGTCGCCATCGCTGTGGCCGTCGACGTCGCCCTCGGCCTCGCCGTCGCCCTCGCCGTCGTCGCCGTGGTCGTGGTCGTGGCCGTTGCCGTTGCCGTCGTCGTCGTCGTCGTGGCCGTTGCCGTGGCCGTGGCCGTTGCCGTTGCCGTCGCCGTCGTCGTCGTCGTCGTCGTCGTCGTCGGAGGAGGAGGAGGAGGAGGAGGAGGATGAGGAGGAGGAGAAGGAAGTTGAGCAGTGCAAACTCAAGACGCACCAACGATGTTGTAATAAACCCTCCTTCCGAGTTCCCTTTTCACAAGTCCCTACACGAACGTGTTTTCATTGCGGGACGTGCTCCGTTGGAAGATAACCGCTTGAGAATCCTCAATCGTGCCAAAACACCATTCCTGAGACTTCGACGACGCGAATCAACGTTGCTGTTGCGTCCTGGCAATCCTGAATCGCGCCAGATCGCAATTCTCGTGACAGAGCACCGCGAATCGTCGTCACTGGAAGTCAACCATTGGAATCCTTGAAGGAACTCTTGCAAACCTCTGAGACGAATGTGCGCGGCGCTAAGGCGAGAGCCACATGTTGAAAGCGACCCGCTTTCATCCGTCAATCTCTTGCAAACTTTTAAGACGAATGCGCCTGGCGCAAAGGCGAGAGCCACATGGTGAAGACTACCCGCCGACCATCCGTGAAGCTCTCGCAGTTTTTTTATGACGAGTGTGCGCGGCGCTCAGGCGAGAGCCACATGGTGAAATGGAGCCGCCCTCCATCCGTGAAGCTTTGGGGTTTGTAGAGACGAATGCGCACGGCGATACGGCGAGAACCGCATTTTGAGAAAGAGCCGCCCTCCATCCATGCAGCTCTTGCGAACTTCCAGACGAATGCGCGCTGTGGTAAGGCGATAGCAACATTTTGAAAACGATCCGCCTTCCACCGGTGAAGCTGCTGCAGATGTTCAGGTTCATGGTCGTACAAGGTGAAACGACCGGCCCGCCCTGCCGACACGTCTCGGGGTGCGACGGGGAGGAGTTCTGTATAAGGAAATAGGATGGAGGGAGGCGGCGGCGGACGATGGCAGTGTCGTGAAGACGTGCTCAACTCTGAAAACACTCTGCTCACGTGAAGAGTGTCGTGAAGTCGTACTCAAGGAGAAAGGATGGAGGGAGCAGGAAGGCTGGAGGAGGGACGAGAGGGATCGGAGGGCACCAGCCATAAGACAACATCCATCCTGGGCAAGCCCATGCTGGGACCTGTGTGTGCACCTCCCTGGCCAGGCCAGGAGGGCGCACGCACCGACCCTCGGCGCAGGATGGGCCTTGCCCAAGATCGGCGTGAGTGTAACGGTGGCGCCTTTCCCAGGAGAACCGGGAGGGAGAGAGGCCAGCCCCCTCTCAGGAGCCTCTCGTCGTCACGGCACGGCTCCGTCCGGCCGGAGGTACCCCCCGCGCCGGAGGTGTTCCACCATCCTCGGCCCCTGGGGGTTGTCCCTGTCGCGGGCCTGGCCGCGGCGTGACAGAATCCAGGGGAGGTTTTTTCGGGTGCTTTTTGAGGGCCTCCGGGCGCCCTCGCCGGGCCCCAGGACCGTCCAGAAGCGACTCGGGATGAGACACCGGTTGGGGGAACATGGTCGGGACCTGCGGAGACCCTGTAGTGAGCAAAATTCAGATATCGGATGTCTGGGGTCGACCCAGGCAAGAGGGGTGCTCAGCCCAGGGGCGGGCATTACAGGTACTCGCCGGGGAGCCTCGCCGAAGACATGGACAATCGGCGCCCCTGGATACATGTACCCATCATTCGCTGAAGGAAGGTACTTTCGATCTCGGATGCAGATCCACTCGAGGCGCCAGATTGCCTACTTGAAGAGAAGCATGGTTTTTCCCTTTTTCCTCACTCTTCAGTGGACGGCGTAAACCCGACCTACTCTCAACGCTCTCCTACTCCCTGCTTCTGCCCGCTTCTTCCGAATGATGGGCGGTGAAAGCACGACTCGGGATGGAGGGCTTCTCCTGGCCAGGGCCTTGCGTCTCGGGGAGATCGAGGCGGCGGAGTTTTTGGGCCCCCAAGAGGACCCCCGAGGCCTCCGGAGGCCCAAGAAGGGCCAAGCACGTTCTGGAACCTTGCTTCTCGATCCAAGCACCTCCATCCTCGATCTCCGATCTCCCCCCTCCCTCCCTCACCGAAGGAGATGCACCGTAACGTGCTCGCCTCTATCCGCGCGATGCGCTTCTGCTTCAGCGACATCATGATCGTCCTTGACGTCCCGCACAGTGGCCACGACAAGCTCGGTCCGGAGACGCCAGGCGCGTGCGGAGAGCGTGCAGAGTATGCGGCTGTTCAGGACCAAGATCTGTCTGTTCGGGCTCCCTTGGCCGTTTCTGCATTCCGGCCGCCAGAACACTTTTCGCGATGAAGAACGGCCCTTGGGAGAGAGATGTCGGGGGAGCACTGGTGGCCACGGGTAGTAAACAGGCCACCACGTCTGAGGTCTGCGTGTTCTCCCCGGCCCGTCCAGCAGAGATTCCTGGGCGAGCCGTCACGAGAATGAGAAATGAAGGAACACCAGTGGAACAGAGTGTGGCACACCAGTCAATCCGAAGCAGGGGTCTGACCAACCCAAGTACGTCTTCGAGCTGGTGTGGCTATGCACATCTTAGTTTATTGTAGTTTAGCGTAGCTTCATTTTTTATTTCTCCTGCCCCCAGAGAGCTTATGGCGCCGCCAAGGCGGCCCAAGAGGGCTCCAAGTCGCGCCCAGGACGCCCTCCACGAGAGTCGGACGGCTCACAAGGCGTCTCGAACGGCCCCAGAGGCCTCCAAGACCCCCCACTAGCGCCCCGCGACGACCACGCAAACATTATCACATCTCTTCGCTTCAGGAGTCTTCACGGCGACCAGGACGGCCCAAGAGCCCCCTTGGACCGCCCCAAGACGGCCCAAGAAGCCCCCAAACGAGCCCCGAGATGGCTCAAGAGGGCTCCAAGACACCCCAAGAGGCGCTCTAGACGGGCCGAAACGGGCCCCAAGAGAGCCTGAAGAGGGGCCCAAGAGGGGCCCAAGAGAGGGAATCCGAGCTGACAGTTCGAGCCCTCCGCCCCAAGATGACGCTCGAGGCCGCCAACACGCCCCCATGATGCCCCCAAGAGGCCCCCCAAACGCCCCAAGGAGGTTCCAAGAGGGACCCGAGGGAGGGAATCCGAGCTGACATGTCGAACCCTCCGCCTCAGGATGACGTCCGAGGCCGTCAACAGGCCCCCAACAATTCTCCAAGAGGCCCCAAGGGCTCTCAGTAGGTCCCAAAGGCAGCCTGGAAAGGCCCCAAAGAGGCCTAAAAGGCTTAACAACTACCTCCAACACGCCCCCGATACGGCTGTCGGGTCCTCTTCCCAAAATATACTTAATTGTGGGGACCACGTGATTGCTCTGTGGCGTCCTTCGGCCTGTCGCCGCCGAATCCGCTCAAGCTTCAGCGCGCTGAAGCCCCGCTGCCAGATGGTGGTGGAGGGCCTCTGCGCGGCCCTGGCGGAGGCTGGGCCCGGCGTGCTGCGCGAGCTGGCGCGCGGTGCGGTCGCGGAGGCGGCGCGGGTGGCCTTCTGGGGGCAGGCGTGCGCGCCGTGCCCCGATTGCCGCCCTCCGCCCTGCCCAGCCTGCCTGGGCTGTCCGCCGCCGCCGCCTTGCCCGGGCCCGGCGGACTTGGAGGCGGGGCTGCCCGCCTGGGCCGTGGCGGTGGCGCCGCAGGAGGTGCCCCCCCTGACGTGGCAGTTCTGGCTGGCGCTGGTGCTGCTGGCGTTCCTGGCGGGACGCTGTAGCGCGGCCCCTCTGGCGTCTCCTCGGCCTGTGGCCGCCCGCCGCCCGAGAGCATGTCAACCTACGAGGAGTGCCGCCCAGGAGCCCGCTTGCTGGTGAGGTTCGCCGGCGATGAGTGGACCCACGAGCGGCTCCTGCTCTGGCCCGTCCACCGCGACCGGCGCCACGAGTGCTGGGTGGTGGAGACGCCGGACGGCGACCGGTACGTAGAGCGGAAGGCGGATTGGCGCTGGCACGTCTCGCTGTTCCACGGCTGGCCCGAGGGCTTCCGCGGCGACGTGGTCAGGTTTCAAGGGGGGCTCCCGCGAGGTGCTCCGCCAGATGGTGCTGGAGGGCCGCGAGCTCGCGCGCGAGGAGCGCCGCAGGCGTCGCTTGCCCGCGGGGCTCGGCGCCCATCTCGGGGAGGGGCCCGTCATGATGGTGGACTGGCACGGCGACGAGTGCGGGCTGGGCGCGGGGGTCCTTGAGGCCGCGCGGCGGCGGCTCAGGGGCAAACGTGACTTCGCGAGTGCCCCGCAGGCCCCCGAGGCTCCTGGCGACGAGGCGGCCGCGCGCCCCGCCTGGGGCCCGCCCCCGCTGGAGGACGCCGACGCGGTGCTGCTGGTGGCGGAGCTGCACGCTGGAGGCGGTCTGCAGCTCGGCGACGAGGTGGCGGCGACCTCTGGCGACGTCGCGGTGGGGTCGAAGGTGATCGGCAGCCGCCACGACGGTCGCCCCGTGCTGTGCGAGCGGGTCGCGGTCGGCGACGTGGCCGCCTCGCTCGCCGACGCGTTCGCCAACGCTGGCCGGGCGGCTGGGCGGGGGGCTTTGGTCGAGGCCGCGCCGCCCGCCGCCGAGGCCCCCCTCGACCTCCGCGACTTGGCCCGCGCGGGGCCCGCTGGTGTAGGAGGCGTGGAGACTCCTCGTGAGGGTGGCGATGCCGTCGGCCGCGAGGACGTCAGGGCGCTCTCGATGGAGTGGAACGAGCAGGGGGCCCGCTTCAAGGAGTGGCGCCGGGCGGTCGGGGAGAGCTGCGAGGAGCCATTGGATGGCCTCGAGCTGCGCGGCGCAGGCACCGCGCTCCACCTCTGCCAGCGGTTCGCGCAACACGGCGGCGACCCGAAGACGTAGATGTCGAACTCCAGCAAGGAGTACGGGATCGGCCAGCGCGACCGCACCTGGCACGAGCTGAACTGCCTCGTGACCATCTTCTGGCTGGCTGGGACCTTCGACGCGGTGCACCTCGGCGGGCTGGCCTGTCTGGAGGTCGCCGCAAGGCGGATCGCCCAGATCATCGAGGCCCATCGGGTCGCGCCAGGACAGCTTTTCCCGCTTCCCAGCGCTCCCTTACGGCCCTTCAGATCGGTCCAAGACGGCCCGCGAGGCCCCGAAGAGGGCCCCAAAAAGGCCCAGGAGGCTCTCCTGACAACCCAAGTGTGCCCCAAGAGCGCCCCAAGAGGGGGCCCAAAGGGGGACCGCGAACCGATATCTCGAGGTCTCTGGCCCTAGAGGCCCCAGTAGGCCCCCAGAGGCCACCAAGAGGCTCCCACGGAACCCCGTGATGCGCCCAACAGGCCCCCAGGAAGCCCCAAGAGGCCCCCAAGGGGCCCCCAGGGAACGCCCAAAAGGCCCCCCCAACGCACCCCAGCACATCATGTCCCAAAAAAGCCTTCGGGGGACATGGTTCACATGGGCCCGAGAATCTCTGGAGGCTCCGAAGTACCATCGCGCTAGTGGAGAGCTGTCTGGGAAGTTGGCTGGGAACATGACTGATCGCCTTCTCGCGGACTTCGCGGATCGTTTCGCACAAAGTTGCCCCAAGTTCCCCTTTTGAACCGACGTCGACGACGACGAAGACGACGAAACAACGAAGACGAGGACGACGACGACGACGGGTCGCCCCAAGAGGCGACGATGACATTACGACGACGACGACGGCACGCCCCAACGCGCTCCCCAAAACGCTCCCGAAACCCATGTTCCCAGAAGGCCTTTTGGGAAACCAATTTGTCAGGCCTCCGACCCCCTACGCAAGCACCTTCCCCGAAAACCTTCCAGAATTCGGATTGACATGCATGGACTTTTCACTGCCCATAATGCGTTCAGCGTTCTGGGCACTTCTGCACTTCCCGTTCAAACCATATGTGGTCCACTACTTCAGTGGAGCAGTGAACTCGTCAAGCCCTGGGGCCTGCTAGAACCTGGGTGCGCGCGCAGCGCGCGCGATGGTTCTAGTGTATATGTATGCATGTATGTAGGTAGATCGGTCGGTCGGGATGTAGTATGCATGTATGTCTATACGTACGTACGTATGCCTGCATGTTTATATGTATACATGTATTTTGTTTGTATGGATTTATGTAATGTAGTGCAATGTAATGTAATGTACCGTAAGGTAATGTAATGTATTGTGTGGTGATGTAATGTAACTTAATGTAATGTAAAATAATGTAACGTAATGTGGTGTGATGTTACGCAATGCAATGTAGTATCCTGTACTGCAGTGTAGTGTTGTGTAATGAATGTATGTATGCAGGTGTACTCACACATATATACGTATGTGTATATATTCGGCCAGCTCCCCAGGCCCCGCTGCGGGCACGGGACGAGATAATTTGCATACGTGCATGTATACATACATGTATACATCAATGTGTGAATACATATATTTATACATAGACATACGTATACATCGTATACACATACACATCTTACTTTCATTGTGAAAGCCTTACGGCCGGTGCCGCTCACCTTTGAAGAAGACCCCCATGATGAAGGTCAGAGCCGGAATTGATTCTGACGTTTCTTCTTTGTGTTTGCTCTTCAATTTTCTTGTGATTGGCAGCGACGACGACGAAAACGAAAACGACGAAGACAGTGTCTCACACATGCCGACGGGTCGGCTGATTTTTCTGACTTCCGAACCCCGCAGATCGATCATTTCGGCAGTGGTTTTTGACAAGTCTCCGCCTTGCACTTTCGTGCGCGCCTTGAGGGCTCGGTGCGTCTTCCCATGTGATTGCTCGTTCCCTCCAGAGCCCTGGGGTGCGCAGGCAACACCACCAGCCACGCGATCAAGCCTCACGAGCAGGGCGAGATGATGCTGATAGGCGGCGCCGGGCCTTCGATTCAGAAGAATCGGTGATCGGTGGGGGCAGGGCTCGGATGTTGCCACCTGGTAGCCCTGTGATTCTGGTAATCTCCGAGGCGCCGCCGCCGCCTGCCCTCGTGCCGCTGGCATCCTCCAGAGCGCGCTGAGGGGCCAACGGGGCTTAGGCGAGGTTACCGCCGCCGCCGTCTCCGCCGTCGTCGTCGGTACGCCGTTGTCGGTTCGTCGTCGTCGAGGAGGAGGAGGAGGACGAGGAAAGGACGAGGGCGAGGATGAGGAGGAGGGAGGAGTAGGGTCGGAGCGCAGGCGGCCGCCACATCGAGAGGTTCAAGGTGGACTCCGGGCTGAGGTCTGGGCGGGGGCGCGCGTTGGCCCTTTGCCTTTGCTCCCGCTCTCCTGCCTCTCTTCCTCTGATGCTCCTCCTCCTGAGGTGCTCCTCTGCTCATGCTCCTCCTCCGCTCCCTCTGCTCCTCTGCTGCTCCTCTGCTGCTCCTACGCTCCTCCTTCCTCTGCTGCCTCTCCTCTGCTCCTGGAGGGGGATCGGGTCGGTCCGATCCGTTTCCGATCCGATCCAATGTCACGATTCGACCCCGTTGAGGCCTGCAGGCAGGTCCCGTTTCCCAGGTCGCCCGCGGGGGCGCTAGGATCGTCACGCTTCGCACGTCGCGGTATGGGCCAGGGCAGCCGTCTTTCCTCCGTGGGGCGCGATGCGCAAAGTCAGGTGGCCTAGATTCCTCAGAGGAGGGACAGCCGCGAGGCAACCGCGTCCCTCTCCTCTCTGGAGATTTGTCGTTCTCTTTGAGCCTGCTAGGGGCATCTCGAGATTGTTCTCACCCTCTGGCGCGTAACGGTTGCTACCCGGGCCAAAGCCCCCCTCCGCGGTAACAGTAACGATCGTGCTGGTGCTTGCGCGCATTTTATGGCGATCGCAGCGCTCTCCGCCATGACGTGCCCCACCCCGCCCAAGCATTACCGCTACCCATGGCCCCAACCCCCCCCTTCCCGGGGTCATGACCGTCACCGAAATTACCCTGTGACGTACCCAACCCTTTCTATACATGTGGCGATTGTATTCAGGACAACTCAATTCTGACTGGCATTCTGAAGGACCCGCAGTGCGCAAGAAGAGCATCCAGCAGTGATTTCAGAAGAGCGCAGTAAGAAGAGGAGCGGCACATCTACAAAATGGAAATACAGGGGCGTTGAAAGAAACGCGCCCAAAGAATGGACACAAAAGGGCGCGACGGCGAGCGCTAAAACACCACGAAAGCCTCCGCTGGGCCTCCCAAGCCCCACGAAAGTGGCGACAGTTGCGCAGATCGCAAGCCCCCCAGGGGGCGGCGAGGTCCCGAGGTGGTCCGCGTGGGACCCACCTCCGCTGGGCCTCCCAGGAGCCCACGAAAGTGGCGACAGTTGCGCAGATCGCAGCCCGACGGCACGAGAGAAAAGGAGAGGGGAGCACAGGAAACAAGAGGAGGAGGGGAGGAGAGGGGAGGAGGAAGGAGGAAGGAGGACGGGGCGACCACACTGCTCTATCCAAAACGAGAACCCATCACAGGGGGGTTGGGACAAATCACGAAAACACAATCCCCTCGTCGCCACGGCCGGCCCCCCTTCGAGAAGCGGGTCGGGACGGGCCGCGGGAATGGCCCGGGGGCTGGCTCCTGGGGGCCTTGGTTTCGTGCGGGAGGGCGCCTCCTCCTCGCGACTGCCGCGTGCAGCTGGTCTCGGCCCAGCCGCCGGCCGCCCTCCTCGTTGCGCTGCCGCCCCTCGGAACGAGCGAGACGGGTGCGGGAAGAGCGGGGACGAAGACCTGCAGCAGGAGATTGTTTTTTCCCCTCGCAATTACGAGCGTGACCCGGGGCTGGGTGGCGGAGGGGGGGGAGGGAAGGGGCCGGTCACGTCACGATTCTTGCCAGCGCCGTCTGGGACTGCTTCGAGAGAGAGAGAGAGAGAGAGGTGAGAGAGAGAGAGAGAGGGAGGGATAGAGAGAGAGAGAGAGAGAGATAGAGCGAGAGAGAGAGAGAGAAACTGAGAGAGAGAGAGAGAGAGAGAGAGAGAGAAAGAAAGATTGAGCGGCCCGTGGGGAGGCGAAGGGTCGTCTGCCCCGGCTGTGCGCCGGGTCGGAAGCCACAGTGCAGCTTCCAGCCAATATGGTTTGATACAGGACAAAGTGTTGATATTTCTGCCCAGCGTTTGCGCTGCCCTCCAGTGCCCCTCCTGGCGATGACGTGGAACCGTGGGATCCAGTTGATTAGACGCGCGGTCCAGCGCCTATCACTCGCAGTAGCCAATTTGCCAGCTAACGTCTATTTGGCATTCCAGAGGCCCGTTGCTCAGTCGTCTCCGCCACTGCGCCTTGGAGGTTCCAAGCTCGGGACGGTGGCGCGCTTGATGAACTCCACCCAGCATTGCCCCAGGCGTCGCTTCATGCCGACCAGCAGCCTGAGCATCTTGTCCTGCGCCACCCGTAACTTTCTCTCCACCGTCAGAGTCCACGTGCTCGCGGCATATAGTATGGGTGGCACGGAACGACGCACGACAAAAGTAGCTTCATCCTGTGCGCCGAGGGCACGCGCCTGGCCGGTTGCACAAAACATGTTTCATTCTGCGGAAAGATGCCCGGCCACCGGAAAGTTTGCACTCTTATTCCGTGGAGTGAGAGTCGTCCAGCGAGAGGCGCCGACCTAAATATTTTTCAGATTTTCTAGCTTGTAGCGCCCGTAGGTCGTGGTCGCAGGATTTGACGCTCTGCGGACGAGGCGCAACGCTGGTGAGGAGGAGGAGGAGGAGGAGGAGGAGGAGGAGGAGGAGGAGGAGGATAAGGAGGATAAGGAGAAGGCGGAGGACCAGCGTAAACCCAAGAGTCAAGAGTCATCAACGATGTTTGAATAAGCCCTCCCAAGCTCCCTCGTCATAGGCCTCTACAACGGTTCATGTCTACTGAGGGAACTGCCTCGTTAGAAGACAACCGTTTGAAGACCCTGAAGCGTGCCAGAACAGTGTTCTTGGGATTCCAACGCCACGGATCAACCTGACTGTTGCGGATTCGTGCTAGACCTCCATTCCTGGAATTTCAACACCGCGAATCAACGTAAACGTTGCACCCTCAACATCCAGAATCCTTCCAAAACACCATTTCT